AAGGATGGACAGTGTTGGCAAGGGGGATGAGAGACCCAGAAAGTCTTTCTGGTCACCAGGCAGGCATCCCTGCTCTGACTGGGGCTCAACTTTATTTTATAATTAAGTGTTTGGGGGAGGACACAGAAGTGGTATTTGCCTTAGACAATGATTTCTGATGACAAACTTCTTTGATATGTAAGAATTTCCCAGAACATAGATTTGTAGAAGACTCCTGCATAACCTCTATCAATAGTGATTGAGGTAGGGGATTTAGACAAAGTTTTTAGCATAAAAAGGGTGAAGTTACTTCTTTGTGAGCAGAGGTCAAATAGGTCTTTCAAGAAACACCTCTGCTCCCATAAGCACAAAAGTTCCTCAGTAGGTTCCTCCACAGGGAGCAAGCAGCATATTCAAGGCCAGAATAAGTCACTCCAAATACTGATAACAAATGCGTTGGGGGGGGGGGGGGGGGTAGGGCTCCAGGCAGAAACGTTTGGGTGGGGGTGGATATCTGCCCTTAACTCTAAATTAGGCTCTTTGTCTCAGGGCCAGACTCAATTGTAACTCTTGTTCTTAGCTCCCTTTATTATGTAAGTCTTGGATCTTCAAGGCCCATAGGAAGAGCCTTTTAACAGTCATCCACAGTGCTTTCATCTGAAGTTTCTTTTGAGAAGGCAGGCCTATGCTTTTCCTTATGAGCAATCTGTGGGGAATATCGGTCTGATCTGGAATATTGTGAGGCCTGGTCAATACCAGCAGCCTCATTTCCAACATGAGCCAGTAGTAGCAGAAGGAGATACCAATTTTCGTTTCTCATGGCAGGAGCTGTGCAAACGCTACCATTTCCTTGCTGTGACTGTCATCCAGAAAGGGCAGTACCGCTCCCAGCACCTTGTAGCTATAGATTTCCCTCTAAGCACTGCTTTAGCAGCATCCCATTCAAAGTAATACTGATAAAGGAAGATTTACTTCTGCCATTTTTCTGTTTGTTTTCTCTACATCTTTCATGTTTTTTGTTCCTCAGTTCCTTCACTGTGAACTTCTTTTATGTTTAATTGATTTTTTTGTAGTGAACCATTATGATTCCGTCTCATTTATTTTTCTGTATATATTATTTTCTTCATAAAAACCTTACAGATTGCAGTTAATATCTTCAACTTAGAACAGTCTATTTTGAATTAATAATAACTTAGCTTCAATAGTATATAAAATCTATAACCATGCAGCACCATATTCCTCCTTTTATGTTGTTATTCTCAGAAATTATATTCATATGTATTTCATGACCATTTCATATGGTTATAATTTTTTGCATTTTATTTTAAACCCTATAGGATAAAAGAGGAGTTATAAAACAAAAATACAGTTGGGGCACATGGGTGGCTCAGTCGGTTAAGCGTCCAACTTCGGCTCAGGTCATGATCTCACAGTCTGTGGGTTCAAGCCCCACGTCGGGCTCTGTGCTGACAGCTCAGAGCCTGGAGCCTGCTTCAGATCCTGTGTCTCCCTCTCTCTCTGCCCTTCCCTCGCTCGTTCTCTGTCTCTCAAAATAAAATAAAGACATTAAATTAAAAAAAATACAATAATACTGTCTTTCATATGTAGTTACTTTTACTAGTGCTCTTTATTTCTTCACATGGAGAAATATCTACTGTCTATAAATAAACACATGAAAATATACTTAATGCCACTAGTGATTAGGGAAATTCAAACCAAAATCACAGTGAAGTACCACTCAAGCCCACTAAGATGGCTATAATTAAAAATAAAAAGATATTTTCATGTATTACATCTTTATGTAGAGAACTTGGGCCCAAGTTGCTGATATGTGAAATATAGCATATCAAAAACGTGCCCAGTGAAAGAAACCAGATACAAAAGAATACATGTTGCATGCTTCCATTTATATTAAATGTCTAGAAAAGGCAAATGTATAGAATAGATCATTGTTTGCCAGGGACTGGAGGTGGTATTGCAGAGTGACTGTAGTGGGGTGCAGGATAGTAATGAATTGCTCTAAAGTTAGATTGTGATGATGATTGCACAACTCTGTAAATATATTAAAATAATCAAATTGGGTGATACCAGGGTCACTAGCAGAGTAGGGAACTCTGACAGCTTATCCCTCCACACAAACACCCATTGGGTGGAAACATTTGAGAGCCTGGGGACAGTGACAAAATGATTCATCATAAATCTCTTCATAAGTTTTGATTTCTGAATCTTGCTAATGTATTACTCCTTATAAATTTAACACAAACAAATTAATTTTTTCAGGGGAGTCAGAAAGTACCAGTGACTCTTTCAAGAAACCTAACTGTGACCTAAAAGTAGAGAAAGCAGCCAGTTTGTGATATAAATGAGGATTAGGGACCTGTGCATTTAGTGAACACCAAGTGTATGATAAGCCATTCAGGGCTGGGTGCAACGGAGACTGAGACTCTGGGACTGAACATCTGGAAGGGATGTGTAAACACCACCCATAAACCTGTCATTTTTTAATAAGATGGGGATAAAGAGATTCATCTCAGTACTGCTGCTTCAGTGAAATCACCTATGTAATGTGGATCACATAGCTTAAGGGATTGAGATGACAGCAGAGCAGAAAATATGCAGAGTTTATCTGTTTCTGAAGCCAGATGATTCTTGCCCTATCACTTACCAACTGTGCTGTCTCAGACACGACTGTGAACCCAATTTCTCATATGTAAAGTAGGGAGGATCCATACTACACAAGGTTGATGTGACAACAACACAATGTCTGAAAAGCATCTGAAATAGCACCTCACACATAGCATGCACTTATAACATGGGTTATTCAAAAAAGGAGAAAAACTAATGGATTTAGCTTTGAGACTAAAAACTGCCTTCTATTCGTAGTCCTCTTATATATGTTAGATTAACCATATGTAACAGAATATCAAAATATACACACACCTGTAAGATCCAAGACAAATCAGAAAGAGGAGAGGTCCTCAAAACAGGCAGAGAAGGAAATAAAGCGAAAAGACTAAATTTGACTAAGCAAAGGGTGAATAGCATTTCATATAAATTGAACTCAAAGAACCATAATCCTGATTTTTAAGGAAGTGTTGAAGCACAGCCATGGGGAAATGTGGAGTGTAATTATTGCTTACCTAAACTTGCTTATATCTTACTAAATGCTTCAAGGCCATCTACTGGCTTTAAAAAACTACCCATGTGTCTTTGATTGTAAGATACGAAGTCTATAAATTTTTATTTTTGTAGCCCACACATGGAAAAGAAGAAACACAATATTTTGAGTATTTTTTTCACGTAGATAAGTACTGGGGGTTATATGGTTGATGATTTAATCTGGTTAAGTAGAGAATGAGCTAAGAAAGAGGCAGAGTTTTGAAAGGGGACCATAAAGAAAATCATACAAATACATGTCTTTTATTTCCTTTGGAAATTATTTTTTAACTGGGGCATAATTTCTTTTTACACATAACCATGAAGATTTAAAAAAAAAGGCTGTATCTTTACCACATCCTGATGGAAGAGACCAGAGGCCGCAGTGAGGTCAGTAACAGGCTGATTTGAGAATACACGGGGAATGCACACAAATGGCCATTACAGTCTGGCATAAGATAATGGTCAAGGTGGGGACAGCAGCTTTCTGTGTGTTCAAACACCTCAGTTCCTTCGCAAAATGTTAGCTGCCTTGGGCTTGAGGATGGCTGTGCCATACTCTCTCTACATTATTTCTGGTGAATTTATCCAGTCACAATGCTTTCCATGTGTATATTTCTAAGCTTGACTTCACATCTGAGTTCCAGATTCATTTTTTTCCATTTACCTGCATGACACTTCTATTTGGAAATCTATAATAGGCATCTCAGATTTTAATTGATATGCCTTCCCACATAACACACCAGATGTGCCTCCAACAAAAGTCCCCAAATTAATAAATAGCACTACTGTCCACCCAGGTGTTCAAGTCCAAACATCAGGATCTGGATTACTTTCCTCATTTCTTATTCCTCGCTTTTGGTCCATGAGCAGATCTTGTTGATTCATCCAAATCCAACTAGAATTTGTCTCATTCTGCATTTTGTGAGCCTCCACCCCAGTTCAGCCACTAATGTTTTTCATTGAAATCGCTAAAGTATCTCCTGACTGGCCTCCCAGCTTCAACTCTCCCCCACTCAGTACATTCTTCAAAGCAGCCAGACTCACTGGCTTTAACTTTCATGGGAATACAGCCTTGACCATGTATTCTTCAGCTCTTCTAATAAGGTAATTTTGTTTGTTTAGTTGGTTGGGGTTTGTTTGTGTGTTTGTACCATGTTACTTTAATGGAAGAAAGGGTACAGTTGAAGGAAAAAATATATTTGGATGTTTTGTAAGGGCAATATGCATATCCAGTTTGGTGACCTAGGAACTCACTCCTTGTGTATGGGAAAGCCAATCTAAGGCTCACTTTGTCACCATTGCCCAGGGTACCTTGTTGAAGAGATACTCTGCCACGCTGGCTTCTGGGGTCTCCCATCTTCCTCTCCAATCAATGTTAACAATCATTCACATTTGCATATATTAATAAACTAAGGATTTTCTAGTAAAATTTAAGAACCCTTTATTTTAATCCCAACCCAATCTTACTCCATCTACTTTCTCCAGTGGCAACCCCAACCGTGACTCTCAGGTCATTTTTTATACTTTTACCATGCACAGGCTCCCAAATTAATCAGGAATCCACTCCACCCCATCCCACCCCACCCCCATATACCTACATAATTTATAAGGGGAAGATTGATTTTGTGTTTTCCAGGGTCCCATCCACCTCCCACCTTCTCCCTCCATCTTGGGAGATCACAAGCTGTGTGTGGATGGGGCATGGGTGAGTGGAGAGACTCTTGGAAAAGTGAGAGATTTCCACACATGAATCACCCAAAGACCTTTATTTACTTAGGAACCAAGTAACTTTATTGGCAGAAAGGGCAAAACTGGAATAAGAAAACTGGAACGTTTTGCAAAAGCATTACTGCAAAATGCATGCTGGGCATGGTGACCAGGGGAAGTCACCGTGCACCCTGTGCCTATGGGGAAACAGTCCCAACTCAGTTCTTGTCGCTGTTGCCCAGGCTGAGCTTGTCAAAGAGGGAGTCTGCCAGGCTGCTTCCCACGGTCTCCATCTTGCGCAGGTTGGTGATGTAGTCGCTCAGCTTGCTGATGGCCTTGACTTGCTCGTGCAGGTAGTTGCTCTCCAGGAAACTGCACAGGTGGGCGTCCTTCTTGTGGGTGGCCAGCTGGTGCAGGTCGAGCAGGCTCTGGTTCACGGTCTTCTCCAGGTGAAAGGCGTACTCCATGGCATTCAGGCCGCTCTCCCAGTCATCTCGGTCAGGCTTCATGATGTCGCCTAGGCGGAGGCGGCCTCCACGCTGCTTCTGCAGCGTCATCAGCTTCTCAGCACGCTCGCTCTCCTTTCGGGACTGGCGCAGGAAAAACTTGGAGACGTTCTCCAGGGCCACGTCGTCGCGGTTGAAATAAAAAGCCATCGACGGGTACACGTAGGAGGCATAGAGCTCCAGGTTGATCTGGCTGTTAATGGCAGCCTCGCACTGGGGGGTGGTAGTTCTGGCGCACTTGAGAACGGCACGGTGGCCATGGCTGGCGGCGCTGGCACCAAGCGAAGGACAAGGCGGCTCGGAAGCGAGGGCTGCGCGGCCCAAAGCGGTGGCGGCAGGTCCCCGGCGCCTTTTTGGAGTGGGAGACCAGGCAAGCCTGGCAGCATTCTCCGAGAAGCAGCTGGGATGGCATCCGGGGTTAGAATCTGTTATGCCAAGCGGTGTGGTGACGACTTTAGGGGAGGGGTGGTGGGCGGGACGCCGCATTCAACTCCCCCTTTTCGCCTGCCTGCGTGAGCACGAGGCCCAGGGCAACTCCGTGCCGAGTGTCTTGAAGCCGTTTTTTTAAATAACTCTTGAGATACAATTCGTATGAATTACTATACTGTACTATACTATACTATACTATAAAAGTCACCTTTCGAAGGTGAATATCTACATGGTTTATGGTATATTCATGGTATTAGGGCAACCGTCAGCACAGTCTAATTTCACATTTTCATCATTCCTGGGCTGCCAGCTGTGGGGCTCCGGGATGGAACTGGAAGGTCTTCTATTACCCAGGAGTTGGGGGAGGGGTGAGGATTGGTTAGTGGATTTTTGGGGTTAGAGGGAAAGGGGCCCCGGACTGTATAGGGGCTAGGGGGCGGGGGAGGGGCAGGGCGGAGCACAAGTGCTGTTCTAGGTTTTAAGGAGCCTGGGTGACACAAGGAGACTGTGCTGAGCATATGGTCTATATAATATTTTAAAATGTAACTCATGAATGTAAGTGCAATGGTTTTGAGTTAGTCACATTCATAGTTTCTTTGAAAAATTTACTTGAATATTGTCCTGATGTGATTGTGCATTAAAAACAGTGCTTTTGTGGTATCACTGGAAATTTTAATATCATAAGGCTTTATTTGGATGGCCCCTATCCTCGGGGACTCAATATCCATGATGTTGACACTTCTGATAGCCTCTTTAGTCAGTCCCTAGACCTTACTAGTTTCAGTGACCTCCACTTCTGTTCATGGCCAGGTTCAGATTTTTCTGCCAGCAGAACAGCACCTCCAAAGTCTCAGTGAATCTTTCTACTTCTCAATCTTCCACTCTTTTTGCACTGGTTCTTCATTCCCTTTATTCTATCCCACTTCATAATCTTTCAGTACATTCCTGAAAACATATTCCTTCTGCCCTGTCTGGATCCCAATTTGGACAGTGCCAATGGTCTCTTCACTGACATCCTGGATTTGCTCACACCCTCTCACCTGGCTTGCTAATTCCCTTCCTCCTGGGTAAATCCAGGTTTCTCTTTTCTCTCACAGAAAACAAACGGTTTAGGTGCATTCATAAGTATTTTTTAATGTTGTCAATTCATTTTGAGGGAGAGCAGTAAGGGGCAGAGAGAGAATCTTAAGCAGACTCCACATTGTCAGTGAAGCCAGATGTGGGGCTGAGATCATGACCCGAGCTGATTTCAAGAGTCTGCTGCTTAACCAACTGAGTCACCCAGGGGCCCCACCTAGGTACATTTTTTTTCCACCTAGGTGCATTTTTTCCCCCACCTGGGTGCATTCCTAAAGAAAGCACTACTAACCATGTGGTTGTGTTCCTCCTCTCCAACCTCATCTGTATTTTCATTGCCACTCAGGAAGCCTTTTTTAAAAAAATCTCTGAGTTACGTTCTACAGAATGAGCCACAGTGGTAAGGAATACCACCGATTTCAAATTGCCTTTTATTCATTCATTCAACAAATATTTATTGATAACTTAAAATGGCCCAGGTACTGCTCTGTGATTTGGGCATATAGTAGTAACAAAGAGAGAAGTCTCTGTTCCAGTGGGGGTTTGCATTCTAGGGGAGAAGCAGACCAAACAAAACAAACACAAAACTGCCATCTTTCGCCTCTTAGTGTTTCAAGTGCATACATAGCAGATATTACCACATGTGTATGGAAATTTAAAAAAACAATATATTAGTAGAATTCAAGGCTATTATAGTGGAAAATATAAGATCAGCCTAAGTATCTATACCTAATTTGAACATCAATTCAACAACGATTTATATACTCCAAATATATATATCAGACACTGTGTTTGATTCTCGAGATATACAGAGGAATCAAACGTGGTCTCCATTCTCAGGATACAAGATAGAATGACACATGATTATAATTGCTGTCAAATAAAGTTAGTATTAAAATGCCTATTTTCATGGAAAGTTTTAATCCCATGGCTCTAACTGATGCACCCTTTTTTGTGGTCTTTTTATTTCTCTTTGGAAGCTTATGGTATTTTATAATCAGTTTTTATGAAGAAAGCAAGAATCAAATATGAAATGTCACAGTATAAACTTCTCTAGAAAGTAATTGTTGATTCTGTAAAGAAATGGAATAATAACACTGTCTACTTTATAAGCTTATTTTAATGATAAAATGACACACAGGAAATGGAAATGAACTACATGATCAGTTCTCAATGACATAAAATTGTATTCTGTATTTGCTTAACACAAATGCTTTGTCTTAATACAATTGTAAACTTTCAAAATTTCCTTGTGAGATTCCATTATGGACCTCATTGTAAGAATCTGTTTAAATAAAAGAGGTCTTGATTTTGTGGAATATTTATTATATTCCCAAGATTGTTTAATAATTAACTTATCCCTACAATGTCACTCTATTTATATTTAAAATAATAATGTTATTGAATAGTTTTATGTGTACCATGTACTTAGGGGTGCTAATGGTGTATCTCAGATATTTCATTCCTCATCATTACCTCCTAGGGAAGTAGGTAGCAGTAGAATATATAACTAAAAGAAACATAAGACATAAAAATTAACTCTTCTAAGAGAAAATCAACAAACAAGCATGGACTAGGACCTCAAATTTCCACAAAGGAAATATGTATATGTATAAACAAAAACATTCTATCTACTTTTTTAGTGAGGAGTATAAAATTAAATACAAACATAGACTGGGAAAACTTTAGAGTAGGTCATGTTTTTAAAAAATATGATTGGGGCGCCTGGGTGGCTCAGTCGGTTAAGCATCCGACTTCCGCTCAGGTCATCATCTCACGATTCGTGGGTTCGAGCCCTGCATCGGGCTCTGTGCTGACAGCTAGCTCAGAGCCTGGAGCCTGTTTCAGATTCTGTAACTCCCTCTCTATCTGACCCACCCCTGCTCACACTGTCTGTATCTCTCTCTCAAAAATAAATAAAACATTAAAAAATTTTTTTAATATGATTATAGGACCATAAAATGAAATACTTGTGGTCAGCATTTGTGTTAGGTTTCTCCAGAAAAACAGAACCAATAATAAATATAGATATATATAGATAGATATAGATATCTTATTATAAGAAATTGGCTTTTATGGAAGTATTGAATCAGTAAATTTTATACCTGAAAATAATGTTACGCTGTATGTTAACTAACTGGAATTTAAATAAAAACTAACTACAATAATTAACTAACTAATTGGGATGGGGTAGAAATTGGTGCATGCAATTACAGAAGTTGACAAGTTCCAAGATGTACAGTCAGCAAACTAGAGACCCAGCAGAGATGATGGTGTGGGTCCAAAGGCTAGAAGCATTAAGAACCATGAAGAACTGATTTTCAGTTTAAGTTTGAAGGCAAGAAAATAGTAATGTCCCAGGTTGAAGGAAGTCAGGCAGAAAGATTTCCCTCTTACTCAAGGAGGGGTCAGCTTTTTTGTTCTTTTCAGGCTTTCAACTGATTGGTAAGTCTCATCCCTGGGAGGGTAATCTATCAATTCAAAATTTTTTTAAGGCAAGGTGTTTTTCCAGTTTTACTGAGATATATAGGGATTCTATTATTCCAAGAGTACCATATAATGATTTGATATATATATTGCCAAATGATTACCACAATAAGTTTAGTTAATGTTAATTTCCTCAAAGAGTTACAATTTTTTTGTCTTATGATGAGAACTTTTAATATTTACTCTATTAACTTTCAAATATACAATACAGTATTGTTAATTATAGTCACAATGCTATACATTACATCCCCAAAACTTACTTATCTTATAACTGGACACTTTTATCTTTTGACCACCTTTACCCATTTCCCCTCCTCCGTACCCCCCATCTCTGGCAACTACCAATATGGTCTCTGTGAGTTTGGGGTTTTTTTTATTCCGTTTATAAGTGAAATCATACAGTATTTGTCTCTCTCTATTCAGCTTATCTCACTTAGCATAATACCCCTCCAAGTCCATCCATGCTGTCACAATTGGCAGGTTCTCCCTTTTTTTTTATGGCTAAATAATATTCCATTGCATATATGTTATAATTTCTTTATTCATCCATCGATGGATACTTAGGTCATTTCTATGCTTTGTCTATTTTAAGCGGTGCTGCAGTACATGAGGGTGCATATATATTTCTGAGACAGTGATTTTAGTTTCTTTGAATATATACCCAGAAGTGAAATACTGGATCTAGTTCTATTTTTATTAATAGTATTTCCCACCAACAGTGCACAAGGGTTCCTTCTTTTCCCACAATCTCACCAGTGCTTGTTATTTTTTGCCTTTTTGGTGATAGCTATTTTAACAGGTATGAGTTGATATTGTGGTTTTGATTTGCATTTCCCTCATGCTGAATGATGTTGAATATCATTTCATGTACCCATTGGCCATTTGGATGTCTTCTTTGGAAAAAATGTATATTCAGTTTTTCTGTCATTTTTAAAATCAGATTGTTTTTGTTTTCCTACTGAGTTGTATGAGTTCTTTATGTATTTTGGATATTAGCCCCTTGTCAGAGATATGATTTGCAACTATTTTCTCCCATGCCATATATTGCCTTTTCATTTTGTTAACTGTTTCCTTTGCTGTGTAGAAGCTTTTTAGCTTGATGGTCCCACTTGTTTATTTTTTATTTTGTTGCCTTTGCTTCTGGTGTCAAATCCCAAAAGTTGTTACTAAGACTAATATCAAGAAGCTTACCTATGTTTTCTTCTAGGAATTTTATGGTTTCAGGTCTTATATTCAAATTTTAATCCAACTTGAGTTTTTTTTTTTTAATCTATGGTTTAAGATAGGGATCCAGTTTCATTCATTTGTGTGTAACTGTATAATTTTTCCAAAACCATTTATTGAAGTGACTATTCTTTCTCCAGCTGAGCCACACAGGCACCCGGAAGGTTTTCTATCTGTAATATCATATCATCTGCA